TACAACGGCGTTTCTGACCGAGCGATCGCGTATGCGCTGGACCTCAGTTTCCTTCTCCTGGGATCAACTCCTCGGGGAAGGAAGATAGAAATAGATATCTTGGGAAGCCGAAAAGTCGATATCGTTACCTCGCAGTCCCCGAGTTCTCCGAAACGGGTCGGTATGTCTCCGTCATGAGTCGCTCCAACGAGCAAGGGCGACTCGAATGACTTGTAGATCTGTGAGGGGGCTGTAGATTGAGTCCTTCTCCCCTCACAATTGTGATGGATCGATATCCTGGAGTAGAGTTCATAGAAGGAGCTCAAAAGTATCTCGATAATTAAATGAAGAATCCCTGACTACGGAGAGCTCTGGAGTTTTCCAGTTTCAGGAGCGCACTGGAGAAGTTCCCGATTTGGGGCCACCGACCATGAGATCGTTGGGATGGTGCGTCGAATTCATAAGATACTGCATGGGATTCCCTCTTGAGACGACCGAGTGACCGGGAGCATGATCTGCATCTTCTACGCTTACGCTATCTTCTTTGCAGGCCGCCGGACTCCAGTCGGTGGTCGACAACTCTATGCGTGGAGAGTGGAGAGAGGTCTTCATCATCCTCCGCAGGGAGGAACGGAGATTGTCATGGCAAGGACCGACGAGTTCTGATGCCTAGTCTCAGTCTCCTAGCGCCGTGAGGCCTTCTGCCGAGGAAAAGGCGTGCGTACCTAGTATGTAGGATTGCCGGCGAGTCCCCCACGGAAGCTCTCGAGCCGGCGGCAACCACGGTCTCTGCTAATCCTTTGTCTGCAACGTCTGAGAGCCACATATCCGGTCGTCGTGATGATAAATCGAGGTTCTCCCGCCCTTCCCATTCCGGGAGGGGAACCGGAATTTCTGCTCCTCTACCGGTACGGAGACGAGAGGGCTCGATCCTGGGAAGGATGATTGGGCCAGAGGAACTCAGCAGTCAGATGAGGTCTGCCGCGAGCCGCGTAGCTCACTTGGCTGATTTCCTCGGGCGATTATGGAGACTGTCTTGGTCAGTCGTATCGGTCTGTTTCCTGGGTGATAGGAATTGATGGGTGTCATCATTGCCATCGATATCATGTTTTTCTATAATATAAATATATTATCATATTGCATATATACCACTGTTCGTGAATCACGCATCCTCGGATATGACGCGGGCGTAATTATCGAAACCAGGCGTGGCTCTTCGGCGAGCTGCATGAGGGACATGGTATGCATTGGAAAAGCTCATCCGCAGTCTCTAGGATACCATCCTCAAACATCAGCCCGAGGAGCCGCTGAACAAAGTGAATTGACCGAGAATTTTCCCTAAAATCCTTACCACTCTCTTCACGGGCGCGGAGTCGATTCGTAAATGAGTGCGCTCCATTCGTCAGTCAGGTGGAAGTCCCTCAAGAGCCCACGGAAGGGCTTTCCGGGATACACGTGCTCCTTGTTGTTGCACGCTTGCAGTGGCCGCGCGAAAACTTATGAGGCGAAATTTCGAATCCTCATTTAAATGAGCGGATCGTCATCTCTTATTAGCTTGTCTCCAGCATGCAGGTGCAGATATGGGGCGAGATAGGCCTCGAACACCTCACAACAGTAGAATACTATGATCTTCGATGGATAGAATCTGTAGAGTAGAGCTTCGGGAGCCCACAAATCGAGCGACAAGAAGCCTAGGGATATACCTCCTTACACATGTGGATCTCGATTGGTAACGATGACATTATGTCCGGTGGGGAGCTGCCGGTTTCAGTCAGGCGTCCCTGTCGGGAGCTTCACGGATAAGGAGGCCGCTTGCCGTTATCTACAGGAGAGTTCAGCAGTAGATCCTCAAGCTGTGACGCATAGAGCTGGTGCTCGAAGTCCGAGCGGAGCAATGGGAGTCGAGAGCGATGCGGAGCTGTTAACAAACGCTACGGGGGAACGTCCTAGCTGTCGATAGAGCTTTGGAACCATTCACCGGAAACGGCCTACCCTGACCAAGCCTCATTGGGATTCGACCCTCAGATGAATCCGAATAAAAGGTCTCGTTTCTTTAAGAAGGTAGAGGTGGAGATCCCGCTTATCACTAGACTACATTTGGCTTATCGGAAAGGCTCTTCGATCGAGAGCTGTGCCTGACTAAGTCAAGCAATCAAATATCAGCGCACAATCAGACGCCCGCGCCGGGAGCCGGTTTCCGACTGTGCTCGAGGTTTCAGTGCCGTTTTTGGAAGTCCCCTTCCTTTCCTCCCAAAATATGGAGGCGATGTCTACCGAATTCGGCCTCCCCCGACTCCTTGATTCTCGACGTGGTTTAGTGTCTGGTACTCCGGACCATCAGGAAGAGCTTCAAGTAATCGAGCCCCGGATATCGAGCTCAGCGATCGCTATGGTACGTATAGCGATGAGTGATCACTGATCAGACATATATCTCCCCCCTCTGGAAGGGGCGCTTCTCGAAGCTCGCTCGTGGCCCCCGGGTCGTCAACAATAGTGGACAATGAAACGTGGAAGCCACGCGCCTGATCGCCCACATGTTCCATGACATGTCCATTAGCATACATGGAAGTACGTCGCTTAATTGCGGTGGGCGCCCTAGGATTCGTTATGCTATTCGTACCCTCGATCTAGGTGATTAGTTCTGTCCCATTCTGCACCTCCCTGTACGACGACTTGGTCGACCGGAGCGAAGAGCTGCACTGGAAAGAAAGTCGCCGAGGATTCGTTCGTGAGATTGAGATCTATGATTGAAGCGCCAAGTCCCTACAGAACATTCCAACGTCTTCAATCGAGCTCGCTCGGAACGTTCGGGAAAAGTTCTCGGCATGAGCCTTACATTGAATCGCGCCGAAGAAGCAGGTACTGGGAGATAATCTCCAAGGATAGCTCCAGTGTCGCGCGACTCTCCCACCCCGGACGCCTTCCAAGGAGAGAGACGGTAGCATGAGCAGCATATTTCAACAAATCACTCCCCGCAGGTTAAGGGTTGTTCTTGTTCGTAAATAATCCTCTCCGTCTGAGAGGTATCCCGCCTTCGGATCAGGTCGGAATGGTACTGCTTTCAAATGGTCATTGTTGTACTCGTCGTGCTGACCGATATCGGCGCGAGTTGTCTATAGATATTTCGTTTTGTGATTGCCCCATCATTATATTTTTCGATTGCATTCTTGTTGCGCGAAATTCTCGGAACCTGAAATCACCCCAACGGGAGCGCAACACACCGTCACTCCGGAGGATCCCTTTCCTTGTTTCAGGATGGATCTCGGCGCTGGTCGCGGGGTAAGAATATCTCCAGCCCTGCGCGGATGCCTTTCCCATTCTCCGTTCGGAGGATTGTCACGAGCGAACTCTCCTCCTTTGTATGAGATGAGGCGAAAATCTTGAAATAGTGCTCGAAGACGAAATCTCTAGTTTCTATCTCCTTGCAGTCCCTCAGGTGATCTTCCTCAGCTCATCAGCTGAGCGCAAGCTCCTGCAGAGCGGGGTATGATAAAAAAAATCAGCGTTTCTTTTTTAGATTAATCGGGTTAAACAATCCTTGCGTCACTTCGCCCTCTTGCGGCTGATAACAGGAAAGCTGGTCGACTTGCCTGCCTGCCTGACGGTCTGAGCGACCAACCGAACGACCGTCCGTCCGACCGCTCGCTTCCTTCCTGTCGGCCTGTCAGCGCGCTGTTCGTGCCAGCACCATCGTCCTCAGGGAGATCATTAGCGAACGAGTCGGGGACGAGCCATGGCGAGAGCCTCCATTGCTTGAACTGTTTTGCTTGTGAACGATTTATGTTCGAAGCTCCCGGTCCGTCGTCGTCACCGTAGCCGCCATTAACATGGCTTGAAATGAAGCAACGTTGAGAATGCAGCCGATAATTTCGTAAGGTGCGAAAGACGGGCACCAAAACCACTACCGTCGCTATATGCCCCTCGTTCGTTAAAGCCTTGCCCCAACAACAGGGCTTCCCCCGTATATTCTATCGGTCGGCAGTGCGGCCGTTCACTCACCCCGAAAATGGCTCTCTCTTCTTTCCTCTCGCTCGCCCACCCCAACGGCTCGAGTTTGGACACAAAATGAAAGAGTTGTTGATGACACCCTTCGACCCCGATGGCTTGAACAGAATTAAAACACCAAGAGTCGAAGATGCTTGACCGCCCCACGAATTCTTCGCTGTTTTACTATCTTTCTCTGTCGCCCGTTGTCCTCCGTGAGCTCAGCCAGCTACCTCGTCGAGACATCGAAGACGTGGGCAAGAGAGTTTCAAGTAAGACTCAAGGAATAGAACCTTTTGCCCAGATCTAGAGCTGATGTCGTCGCGTCGAGGCGTCATCGACGGCTCTGATCGGGCGGCTAGGAATGCTTTCTGGGAAATGAAAAACTCTCGTCGTATATTGGCACTCGTTGTTGCCGTCGTTTATTATCGAACATCGGCAAGTCCTTCCTACCAGGTGATCATTGAAGATTCGGACATACCCGTCAATCTCCGAGCGTTTCCCGGCTGGCCTCCGGATTATCTCTGTCAAATTTCGCTACGCTGAGTACGCAATACGAATTCTTCATTTCGAGAATATGCTCCCATCATAGCCTCGTTTCACAAAATACGAGGCTCATGAGGGCAAACATAAACTCTGCTGTTTCTCTCTTCTAACGTCGTGTCGTCTATCGTAAGCGAATATTGTCCCCCCATCGGACAGCTCTCATTCGAAAGCTCCAACAACATCAGGTATTATTCATAGGCACACAGTTCCCCATAAGGGTCCCTGTAGAAACACAGTCGCGGAGAACACAGCGAGCGTTGAAGTACAAAAGTTAAAGTACGCTCCTCCGCCTACGGAGTCTTCCCCATTTTCAAGCCGCGCGTCCTCACGTAGACCTCTGTAATAAATTAGGTGCTCGGAAAAAGAGCACAACATACGTATGTACATCGATTATTGCACGTTGGGCTATCGACTGGAAGACGATACAGCCATTGAGGCTGTCTGCTTTGGCGACAGCGTGTTAAGAGCGGGTGTGCAATAACGGCGACAGCTCAGTACGGTCGCCAAACTTCTTGGGTAGCGTTTGCGTTCTGATTGTTGGCATCGTCCAACAGCAGACCCGGCGTTCCAACTTCATTCAGCATGTGGTTCGCCTCGAGCAGAGATCGCCCCGAGTGATCGGTCAATCTGGTGTTGCCCAACAGAGGACCCTCGGATTCCTGGCTGTCTTCCTGCAACGCGTCAATCGCCTGCTGAGGATGAGGATACGGTGGAGGGGAGAGCACCGCGTAGTTCGGCTGGCTGCTGGTTCCAGCCTGAGGATAGGTACCGTTGCAGTTCACTAGCTGGTTGTAAGTCCACACTGGACCGTTAGGAGTCAGTACGGCTTGTCCGCCAGTGCCAGTCAGAGACGGTAGTTTCTCTGGAACAATACCTAGATCGGGCGTGGAACCGGGGGCGAGCGGGGGGAGCATGGGCTGCGGTGGCATCAACGGTGGCAAACCTTGCCCGAAATTGAGAACGTGGTCGACCTCCGAAGTCGTCGGGAATACAATCGACGCGGCGCCCGCCTGCTCGATCGGCGACACAATTTGAAGTGGCGATGACCGGGACGACGACAGAGGAGATGAAGATGTGGAGTCGACTGGCGGTGAGTTGATCGAAGGAATCTGACCCGGAGTGGCTTGTGGTGACGTGTTTGCTGCAGAAGCGGGAGAAATTCTTAGTGCCTATGTTATACGACGATCTCTCAAACTCGAAGACTCCAAAAGAGCATCGCGCGTGACCATTTTTTTTTTTCGAGGTGAAATTCAGAAGAAAGCTTACAGTTGGCGGATCCGTCGGATAACGTGTTGTTCATCGAGCTCAGATTGGGGTCCCATCCGAACATATTATTCGAGTTGACCGCAGGCGCTGTATTCATGTATCCGGCATACGTGTAGCTTGGATTGGGCCAAGCCGCGACCTCGGTATTGGTGAGTCGCTGAGACAAATCGGGAAAAGGCCAGTTTTCATTATTTGATGGGACGATGTGCAGATTGGACTTCCGTCTGAGGTGCTGCCACTCGATCCCCATGCGGGGGTCGAGCAACGGTGGTCGTTGGCCCATGGGAGCGAATGGGTCTCGGTACGTTTGTCCTTGAAAGAGGGAATCATTCTTTTAGCGATAGGAGAGGGATATTCGCTGTCGAAAACGTCGATGGGAACGATCGCGGCTCGGTCCGGATTGCGCTACGGCCAAAAGACCGTCCCGGACCGCAGCCGTCGCGACGGTTTCCTCTTCGTGACATTTTCGTGAACTAAGTATGTATTCTTATGCCTACATACTTGTCTTACTTCTCGGTTCGCGTGGGCCATCGACGGTGACTTTGATCGCCTTGCAATAAGTGGCTATTTGAGGTGGAGAGGTGCTTATCACGATCGTGAGCGTGAAGCTCTTGCCTGGAATCAATCGAGAATCGCAGTCTGATTATTATGCTCATCTTCCCCACCGATTCGGATTCGCGCTACCGCTGCTGTGGAAGTTTCGTGTTTTGTCTTCCATCCGAGTACTCCGAATTCTCGGCCGATCACAAAGGACTCGCTGTAACAGAAGTATTCGAACGGATATGCGAACGAACGAGTAGGGTTATGCCAAAACTGGCGCTCTTTGATTGACAACAAGTCCACATTCGGAAATAGAAACAAACTAATTGTCAAAGCAAAACACCAGAGCCGATCGAGTCGACTGCGCCGGGCAGCCGTTGATATGCCGACTCGGGACGATCTGACGTGTCCAGACACAGTCGCTGACTCAGTTCAAGGGTTCGACCGACGCCTTCGAGCGAAAGCGCCGGAACCATCTAACCAGGATCTCGAGCCCCACCGAGGGGAGCAGAGAGAATCGATATGATGGCAAACTTGATTGTAGGTGCACCTCTCCGGCGTTCCATAGGAATCCAATGGATGCCGCGGGAAGCGTCGGAGCGTATGGACACAACAAATGGGTTTCCTCTCGCATCGGTAGCTTCGTAGACCATCTTCATCACCTCCAACATCAGAACGTATAGGTTTTCCATCGGCGCGCTCATCCCATAATATAAGATTTCGAACCATGTAGATACACTACGCTTGGTGAATCTCTATGGTTCGAGAGGACGGCCTACCGGTCCGGCCGACGGGCCGGGCGACCGGTCGACCGGTCAAAAGCTGTCCCCGCAGACGGAGACGGAGGAGCTGGCTATGGTTCTCACAGTGATATCTCAATCGCAGTTCTGGTCAATCTAAATTGATGACTCCGGAGCGCACAATGCGAGGCTTAAGGCTTTGTTCGAGACCTTTCTTAGACTCCGGCAGTCTTCGTTAATCCTCGACGAAACTACAAATCTGACGAGAAACGAAAAATGAAGTGAATTGCAGCAGATTGCTGCAGCCTCATGTTCGAAATTCAATTTCGAAGGAGCGAATTTCAATCGCTCAACGATGATCTGAGGAAACCTTGTTCTCGGTCCGCAAAGCAGTCGCAGCGCTCGGCGACGACGATCCGCTCGCAACTTTCAACAGCTGTACCGTCGAACAGACCTACAGCAGTGCTGGAGCATTGTTGAAAGTGTCGCAATGTTGGTCATGTGTTCGTTCGCCTCGCTGAGAGAGGTGGTGGCATTCTTTTTGAAACGCATGGAAAGACGAGAAGGAGCACACGAGACGGTTAATGTGTGTCTATTTTTGAGTGGCTGTACTAGGCCGAGCGTACTACGCATGGTGGCTCCTCTCGCCATGGTAATGCATTCGACGACCGAATGGTACATACAAAAGCTGTCTGTTCGGCTGCGAGAATAACAAAACAAACTCGTAGGACACTGCACTACCAGAGTGTTGAGAAGTTCATCCGGGAAAACTTGATAGATTCATAGCCTTTGACATGTCGCTATGATCGTATCGATGTCTTGAGATCTCTGTCCAACAAAGATGCGAGCGAGCCGCTCCGTGTTTGAACAGAAGCAATGCCATGAGTCAGTCGACAGCCGTCTGTACTCGCGACGCTCTCGAAAGCCGACTCTCCGAAAGGAGTCAAAGTGGCGGAAGCCGATAGAGAGTCGTTCCTCGTGGCATTGGAGACATGATACAATCTTCGCTCGGCAAAACGCGCTTGAAGTTCGTCTTGATTGAAAAGACAATCGACTTCAACTCTTTGTCGGTCGAGCCCTGGCCTGCGCCTCGGGCGACGCGCGCGTGTGTGTGTGTGTAAGCCACTCGCGGTGCTTCCCCACTACCCCTCCCGCCTACATTAATCATCGTAGGTACGGGTCAGTTCACAGTCGAGTTGTCGACCCACGGGCGTCCCAAAACACACCTGTCTTGGGAGTTCGGAAACAAAACGCTGCCGACGAATTCTTCGAAGTTTGCGACAGACAGCGAACTCTGCTCTCGGACACCCACTGCGGAACAAGATCCTAAACGGAGTCAACAAGCGAAAAATTGCCCGTCTGAGAGAGACTCCGGCTCTGACGGGCAGGCTTACAATGCCCCCGATCCGCGCCGAAAGTGCGGATGATATATGGTTCTCGAGTTAGCTCAACACGCGGCCATCGTTGCACCTTCGGCTCTTCATACATTTGAGTCTTATATCGCATCGGAACGAGATAGCAGATCATCACTGCACTATCTCGACATGTACGAGCTCAGGCGTGAACCGATCCCGAACTATTTTTAAACGATCGTCCTGGTCGTGGCGAGTCGTCAGTGCGGAATTCTTCCTCCACGAGCATAGAGATCGGCTCGGTGGTTACACCTCCACTCGGTGGGTGGCGGGCGCAGCGATTGAAAATCTGAACTAAAGCCCATAGGTCGGTCGGTCGCTAAACGCGAACCATCTCAAATGTTTTCAATCTGAGACGGGATTCCTCGCTTTCCTCCCCGATTCCCACTTTTCTGTCTGATTCGTCGTGATCGGGGTCGAAACCGCAACGTTACTCGGAAACGGTCTCGGATGGCTTTTTACACTCGTTAAAAAACTAGGCGACTCGCTCCGGCATCTCACGATCTCAACACGTACTCGGACGAGGGTTGTAAATCAAAAAATTTGTGGAATCGCACAACGCCATCCGTCCCGAAAGGAACTGCGTCGATGAACACTTTCGGTGAATACGCGCAGGAGCCGACCCAGGAATTTTTGGGGGGAAGGGGGGCAGACCGAATTCGGGGGGGTTAGAGGGCACAAAATCGATACCCGCGCGTATGCATTAGTATTACGGATGAAGATTTCGGGGGGGGGGCATGGACCCCGGGCCCCCCCGGGGTGCGCTACTGAATACGCGTCGTATGTAGCTTTCAGCGTGATCTGCAGCTCTGCAATCCGGTAAATGACTCGGGATGATACCGTATTCGGAGCAGATTATGTACTGATGGTGTATAGAGTCCGCGCCACGCCACTTTCGCTCGTCGTAAAGCTTTTAGGAGTCTTTAGGCGGGGGAAGCGAATCATGAGCGTGAAATCGATCAGGTTCCAGTGAAACATTGGCGTGGGGACGACGAGCTCTTGGGAGCCTTCAATTCAGAGAAGCAATGCTGGTTCGCGTTTCCAAGACACTGATACAAGCGTAGAACTTGCGCAACAAAGGGCTGCTCGACGTCTGACCCGACACTTGGTTCTCGGGTAATAATCGATCTGGGGTCCGAGAGCTGGGAAATTTCCCGATACTTTCTAGGAACCGGTCTGGAAGGCTCAGTATGCCGAACTTCTCGAGGCGAACTGGGAATGAACTCGAATATCTACCTAGAAGTTTTCCCCTCGGTTTCTCGATTCGTGGATCCATCATCCATCCATGCATCGAATTGCTTGGGTCAGATACAATAGTTGATCAAACACAGTTTATCTTTCTATCGTAAGCGGGACCTATCCACGTGCATATCCGAAAATGGTCGATGGAACTCCTCGCCTCGGTAAGCTACCGAATCGAGTCCACGTATCGATCTGACACCCCATGCTTCATTTCCATTATTCGGAGTGAAGGGAATGATCTTCTTTAGAACACCGGATTCCGATAGTGAGTCTGCGTCAAATCATTTGACGGCGCGACATCGACTCCGGATATACTAGGAAGGCTTTCCGTGGACAGGTCCTTCAAGTTCTGACCGCATTTCGAGTCTCAGCTCCGTCTCTGGGACCATTCGGCAGAGACGGCAGCACCTCCCGAATATTAGACGGTTAGATCGCTCGCTTGCGCTATGAAGTCCGACTTGCCTAGTCTTCGTTCGTTTCCCTTCATGATGAGAATCACGAGAGGGATCAAATCGAATCGGACGAGCATGTCTGGACAAAGGTCTGGATGTCCGGATAGGGGATTTCCGAGAGACCTCGGAATCAGACTCTGTCACCGTGTCACCCAGATACGCTCTTCTAACCATGGTACTATTGAGCTGATAGACCGCACGGCGGAGACAGTGCACGGGCGCTTCTCAGGTCTGGAAACGCGGCTGAATCCAGAACCGAATCCGTATTCATCCATTGCCGGGAGATTCCGATTGCGGGGGCTCTGCGTCGAACCTAGACAATTCCTTTCTCCCAGCTGCCCATCGCTGCCTTCGGTCTCGAGAGCTCCAAGCTTCGGTGCTCGCGCTCCGTAATCAGTGATCGGTAATTACAGTCGACGTTAAGGCTTACCTCGTCCGCTGCGACCCACGAAACGCAAATCGTTGAATTTAGCCACGCTGTTCTTCATGACGGTCGTGAAGTTTTTCATGTCGGGCGTACAGTTCTCATCGTTTCCAGCTTTCAACGTGACAAGGGTGCCGTCGGCGACGTCCCCACTCAACGATATCACACGAAACGATTGGGGGAGCGATTTGTTACTCCGCCAATGCGTTGGCAAACACGAGCACAGAATGTTCGGGGCTCCAGTGCGAACTAAATCCCTGGGATGATCGGCCAGAATCCGACTGAGAGCCGCCTCGCCGGGCAATCCGGACTCTTCGACCCGGTCCAAGAGTCGACCCTGAGAATACCGCATGTTTCCCCGCGCGGTGCTGTCAATCGTGGATTGGCACCCTGCGAACTAGACACGGAGCACTAAGGTCCTCTCAAGAACGTTGCCGCGTTCGCCACAAAGGGATGCAACAAATACTCTGCGTTCGTCTCCGAGGAGGTTGTACATAGAGCTCGGTGGAGAGAAGCCCGCTGCTGACGTCAGAGTGGGCGGGCCCTGAGACGCCAGGACTCTGTGGGTTGGTGGGCCCACCGCCACTGAAGTTGAGGCTTGAGGTTAGTGTGAGGTCGGAGTGAGGTTGAGGGCCTGGCCTGGCCTCGAGCAGGCCACGCGTTGCGGCACCGATTGGGGCGCCCGCCGACTTGGTTCTTGAGGTCGACAGCCAGCCAGCGTACGCTTGTGCGAATGCGGTCTCTGCTGTCAATGGGTTCCCTTCCGTCGAGTGATTGAGGAAAAGTCTCTGGTTGGAAAAATTAAATCTGAATGCAACCGGCCGCAACTACATCGCCAGGACGTGAATTCGCCGTGATATCTGGTCACGGCGCGGAGGAAACCGATACAGCGAATTATCGTCAGAGCTGTCGGACTTGCCATCCATTCTGGGCTGGAGAGACCAAAAGTTGGGGGCAGTTCTCCCTGGGATCGAGAAAACTCGTTGCGTCGGAGTAATTCCATCGGTTCCGTCAGGTTCTCTCTCAGAATGTTGTACCGTCAAGCAATGAAAGGAACAGAGACGAACAGCGTCTCGGCGTCGCGTCGCTTGCGGACAAAACGATGTCCCGAGGACGGAGTCGAAACGATTTATAGAGATCCCTGCGCTCGAATGAGCGTCGCATCCGAAAAAATCCCGAGCTAGGCGATACGTTGTTTCTCTCAGCTAGGTAGAGGCTTTCCCGCTAATTGCGGCACGTTTGGGGGTGTTTTTTCTTTTTTCCATTTTGCAATGAAGACTCGCGAGCGTGCAGTCGACTGACTAAGTCCCTGGCGTGACAGCATGAGCTATCACATCGCTCTGTCATACTCGCTTCCAGAATGTTTACCACTCATGATGACGACGATTTCAGAACCAGGTCGGAACTGGATAACAAAGCTGCCTCGACTCGGAATGATGTTCTCGAGCTGATCGGTCAACACTACTGGTGTGGAGTCCAGGACAGCGCGATAGCCTATACTCCTGGCATCGATGCGGGTCGACCATGCGGAGAAACTCCGGAGACCGGCTTCGCCGAGACAATATCGGGATCATCCTGAGTTTCTCTTCGGGACGTGTTCCGCGCGAAATTCTCCAGCACTTGAAGCTTCACATCCGAAAACGAATGTCTACGAATAGCTTGATCATTGAAAAAACCCACGATGTCACCGATCGCGTCCGGGCTGCGACGATCGACGCGGTCTTCCGGTGAAGGTTTTGACTACAGTGTATTGTCTCCGAAAAACTCTTTCTGTCGTCTGAGAATTGCGGTCAGACAGGAGACCAGACATGGAAACTACGCTTCCGGATTCACCGAGTCAGGAATTTCAACCAATCTGAACCGGAGGACAACGTTATTTGGGTGAGGCTCGGATGTTGCATCACCAAGCCTGACTTTCGACGAGTGGGTGCGAAGATTTCGAGATCGACCATTTGATACATTGATTGTTGGAGATTGATTGTTGACTCACAAGAGAGACGGGCAAGAGAGACAGACACGGGTTCGGGGCGCTGCACGAGGTGCTCTTCAAGCCGGAGTGCTAATGTCTAATTTACAACAGCATGATCTCTTGGAGAGTGACCTGATTTACGATTGCGCAATGATCGTTGACTGATCGCTCGGCGCCGAACTGTGTCGGGCGACACCCACCGCGAAGAGATTTATTGCGGAAATTCTTCATCGCTCAGAGTTCAAGCCTCGTTGGCCACTCGGCGTCTTCTTATCTATGCAGACAAATCCACCTCAGAAGCCCGATCTTGACTTGAACAGTGCTCGAATGGAACGATGGGTGATCAGGCTACTTATTTGCCTCTACTATACGGTACGCGGAGTGACGATAAATCGGGTTGGTCAGCCCTTCAAAAACGTGAAGCCTTACGAAGAAATCGGTTTTCTCCCGAAGCTTTCCACAAGAGCTCTCGGAAACAAGCGAGGACTCCTTAACGAGGCAACGGATCTTCGACGATAGCATCGAACAAGAAGCTCATCCGGAAAATGAGCAAGACAGCCGAATCAGGTGAATCATAGTCTGAGGCTTCAATTCAGAATACGCCACACTGACTTGACCCGTATAATGACAGACGAGCGAATGATGGACGGAACGATGACGAATTTCCTAACCACAAAACATAAACGGATTTCTTTAAACTGGTATGACGCTCCAGATCACCACGCATCATCCGCGATGGCAAAAATGCCTTCCCAGAAGTACGATGATTTACACCGATTTCGACAATGCAAGAATCGTCGGCATGGGTCCGATTTGAATAAATTCGCGAATTCCCGCTGCTTGCAGGAGTGGGGGGGAGCGGTGATAAGGACGCTCTCTTTGTAGGAATGTTGATATCGGCGCACTAAATCGCCGGAAGCTCCTATAGGGAAGCTAGCAGCCCTGACCGACCCATCGGATCGTGAGCGAGAGCAACCTGACCTGACGTCTTAATCCAAATTGATCTCGCTCGAAGAGATTAGCTCAACGTTCGATTTAGGTTATGCAACGGAAGTACCTAGTCTCACAGGTATGGCGAAAAGAGACTCCGCTGAAGCCGCTCCAGTGCGATGTTCATTGCCGGGATGAAGTTCGGCGCGGTAGGTTTGCAGTGAATCGCGCCAGACTCTGTGCCGACCGGTAAGCCGAGAAACGGAGGAATCCGCCTCCGGTCGGATATCCTCCGATTTACTCCTGGGAATCCGTCGTGCCTACTTTCCGGACTTGGAATGGCACTCGTGCCTGAAGCCAAGACAACCGTACCGTTGCATCGGAAATCGGCCTCAAATTGGTTCGGGAGTCACATCCTTCTCGGAGCAGAATGTTTTCTCCGTCCATGCAACCTTGGCTATAATGCTCGTCCCGCTTGATGAATCGATCAGCTCAATTGACTCGTACCCATTTCTGCTTTTAGTCGCCGAAACCTCAGTCTACAGCTGGCATCGTTTCGAAGCACGTCAAGCGTCCTAATGAGAGACAGACATATATGGCTCGAAACAGGTGAAGGTCGCGCGCGAGAACTACGCCCTGGCATCGGGCATCATATATGTATATTTTCAGGCGATGGATTTAGGGAATAAATTCGGTACAGAGTCCTCATTGCCCTCATAAAGTCACCGCGAGGGAGCTGTATCAGATCTGACTGAAGGCACGAGCTGATGGGACAGTTTATAGTTCGCGCGCCGCCATAACGCTCGCCAGTGGAGTAGAGGTGTCTGAAGCCGAGAGTCGAGAGCACGCTCCGGGAGGAGGCTGCTGGGGTTCGCTGGGTCTCTTCTTCCTCCTCCTCCTCCTGCGGCGCTCAAAGGCAAAACCGCCCGAAGTTCAAAAGGTTTACTTCGTTTAAGCAGTTTTTCACTGGCGTGCTTCTTCTCGAAAGGCTCACTTGCCATCAAGTGCACCGCCAGCGCCGGTGTTCATTCATGTTTGTCTGATTTGACTAAGTGACAGCTCGGAGTGATTTCCAACCGCCCTCTCATTTGTCGGTTGATTTGTTCTCTGAGCCTTTTGGCTGAGTCCGCTCAGGTCGGGCTAAACGTTCCTCTCAAAGCTCTATACCCGTTGCTTCCGCGAAACGCCACCGCAGGCAAAATGCATTCGGCCGGAGATTTTCAAACTTTTGTAAAAATCTGATCAGTCGACCCTTTGACCGAGCACACTGGACGCGGACTTCAGAGAACAGAGCACCGGTATCGATGTCAGCATCGAATGGTCACCTGATTCCTCTGATCGCCGTCGCGAAGCTTTCGGAGGATTTCTTGAACACTTCAACCACATCAAAGACATACGGAGTCATTATATTCCCCAAAACCACCGAGCATGGAAATCTCCCTCGAAAGCACTGGAGCTTTATTCGCTTTCGGAAATCTATTCCCTGGCAATGGTCTTCTTCGGCCCCCCCCCCCGGATTCGGCCGCTGCGCTGTCGAGGCAAAGACAGCGATTCCCGGAGCTATTCCACGGTTTCGCAGAGCGATCGGCTCTGAGTGAAACGCGTCTGAAAATAGGGATTGGCGCGGCGGAGTCAGTCGCTGGAAACGCCAAGAGCGGCGGAAGAAATCTCGGTTCGGTGTTCCTACAGATGAGTCGACACAGTCGTCCAATCATGTATCCGAGCAGCTTGCTACGGATGGCAGAGGTCGTCGAGGGCCGGCTGAGCGAGAGTCTGGGAACGTCGGACGAGCGTTGGAAGCGGCCGCGTCGACAGCCGAGCGACGACAGCCGCACAGAAGAGAATTCCATCTGGATAGACGTACTCGTCGCCATCCAAGACAACTTTCAAGGCGACCATTCAAAACCGCAAACGTTGTTTTTCTATTTTTCTTCGAGATCGGGTTGCTGCTCGTTCGCCGGACTGCTTGCTCCCGTTTCCCGATGCGCACCGGCCGCTCCTGCGACTGCTGCTCGTGATCCGGACATCGTTGGGAGCGGAGGTGCTGGAATTCCTGCTTCACTGGGAGAAGATCCGAAACAAGGTTCTCGCCTGGTGCTCCACCGAAGCGACACAGATGACGAAGATGGGCATCTTTCTAGATCACACCGGAGCCTTTTGCTGCGCCCACTGAGAACGACTGCTCGAAAGGGATTCCGTTTCGGTGGCCGTTGATTTTGGAACGAAGGCTCCTCCCGAAGATTTCAGGGCTCGGGACTCCAAGCGGGTCCTCGGGTGATGGAACTTGACGATGGAGACATGACGGACGATCGGCAAGACCAAGGTCTTTGTTGGATTAGACTCGTGTCAAAATATCGTAAGCAAGGACTCGGGAAGCTCTCACGGAGAGATCGTCTTCAGAAAGAATGAAAACACATCGACTCGACCAGGCCGAATGCCCGAGAGCTGAACGAGGGGACAAAGGCTCTTCAAACCACAAAACAGACTCTACTCGCTTCAGGCATCGGCTGGAACCGCTTTCGTCCTCTAAGCGGAGACCAGCTGAGTTACAAAGGATCAAGTGTCA